CTTTAAGGTAAAGGTAAAGGTTCCCTTGCTCGAAAGCCAGTCGAGTCCGACTCTAGGGTTGCGGTGCTCATCTCCGTTTCAAAGCCGAAGAGCCAGCGCTGTCCGAAGACATTTCCGTGCTCACGTGGCCGGCATGACTAAACACCAAGGCGCACGGAACGCTGTTACCTGCCCACCGAAGTGGTACCTATTTATCTACTTGCAATTTCTTGCTTTTGAACTGCTAGGTTGGCAGGAGCTGGAACTAGAGACAGGAGCTCACCCCGTCTTGCGGCACCCGGGTCTTGAACTGCTGAACTACTGACCTTCCACAGCCTGCAGTTCAGCGTCTTAACCACTTGAGCCACCCTCCAGCCATTTCCTCCACAAGAACCACCATTGCCAGCCTCCAGGTGAGGACTGGAGATCACCCAGAATTACAACTGTTATCCAGGTGACAGAGATCAGTTCCCCGGGATAAAATGGCTGTTTTGGAGGGTTGAGTCTATGGCATCATACCCTGCTGAGGCTGCTTGCCACCTCAAGCCTCACTGTCCCAAGGCTCCACCCCCAAATCTCCAGGAATTTCCCAACCTGGAGCTTGCAGCCCTAAGGTGAATTGATCTCTGTAGCTGGGAGATCCGTTGTGATTCCCAGACCACTGCCACTGCTGCTGTGGGGGGAGAGGAAGTAGGTGGGTGGCTAGGAGCACTGCCACCACTGCTGCTGCTGCTCTGCAGAGTGGGGGATGAAGCAGAAGGAGGCTGGGAGAGTGATGGGGGCAGAAAGAAAGAATGATGGGGTGGGGGCAGAAAGAGAGATGAAGTGGGGAGGCAGAAAAACAAAGAGAAAGATGACAGGTCAGAAAGAGAGAGGAAGTCACACGCATGGAGGAGAAATAGAGAGTCAGAAAAGGGGGCAGAGGGGAGAAATAATGTGAGAGGTAGGGGGTGAGGAGAGAAGGCAAAGGTGTGAGGAATGAGATAACCATCCCGCAAGTTTCTTGCGGGTCTCCATTTGTAATATTCAATTGGTAATCCACTTGTAATATTCAATTGGTAATCTGTCTAGTCCAGGCGCTTTCCCTTTCTTTTGGATTTTAATTGTATTTACAATTTCTTGTATTGTTATAGGTCCATTTAATTTTCCTTTCTGTTCTTCGCTTAACTTGATAGTATTATATTTCTTAAGATAGTCTCTCTGTTTATCTACAGAAATAATCTTTGCTTGATAGTTTTAAATAAAATATTTCTACTATCCCCTACATTTTTCTCTCATTTAACACAAAACGTTTAATTTTATTTTACCTTATAAAACATGTTTGAGGGTATTTCAATATCCTTCATTTCCCCATCATTTTATGCAGAATGGTGCACACATTCAAAAGTTGAATCACCATTAAAAAAATAAAGCAAAATTTACTTGCGTAAATAATGGGTGGGTAAATTATGTACAACACGAGCCTGGTTTTAACCTCCCATCCTTCCTAACCTGGAAGAAAGGACAAAACACAGCAATGCACAGTAGTAGTAGAAGAATTAACATTTGTATTCTGTAGCAACAGACCGAGGAGATTATTAGAATACTAGTTGCAGCCATCCATATTTCTTCAATGTATAGAGCCAAAGGTGATGCAGTCCGGGGTCTTCTAAAACAGCTCCTGCTCCAGTGAGCTGAAGAAAGCCAGACCTGCTCTTTGGTCCAGGGAAGAAGGAAGCGGGCTGCTGGAAACACATCACTGAGTATCACATCGAAGGTCACTCTTCTAGAAATATGTGGGAAAGCCTCACTGGGTTGGCCGTTCTTTCACGACACAGACCCAGAAATTATGATTCAAAGCTTTAGGTTTCACTTAAGCTGATGGGTCACTACAAATACACTCCTAGAGCTAGTATTTTGACAGATGTCTGGAGATGGTGGTGGACTAGAGAAGGAATAAACAGAACATCCAAAGATGATGGAGGATTCCGCAAACTATTTGAGAAGAACAGTGTCTATTCAGGAAGCATGCAATCTGATCCAGAAGTCTCAGGACTGTAGCGCAGGGAACCTACTGGATCCAGAACTTCTGGTATCTCAGATAATGAATGACTTTATGAACTTCAGCTGATTCACCAGCTACACTAGAACCAGTACTAGAACCAAGAGACAATGCTACCATTATACATGCCTTGGTAACTTCTAGACTAAACTGCTGCAATGAGCTCTATGCAGGGCAACCCTTGAACACTGTCTACAAGTTGCAATTAGTCCAAAATGTGACTGTCTACCTGTTGTGATGGGTAAGCAAAAGGGTTCATTGTTTCAATAATTTCACTGGATGCCTATTTACTTCCAGGCACTTTTCAAGGTGTTGTTTTTGACCTTAAAACAGCTTGACGCCAGAACATCTTTGGACAGCATCTACCTCCATAGGAGCCCTTTTGCTTTTAAGATGTGCCAATGAGACTCTGCTCAGAATCCCCTCCCAGGTTCTAGTTCAAGCTCTACTAAAGAACAGGACCCTTTCAGTGGCTGCTCCAACACTCTGGAATGCTCTCCCCCAGAAGCACACATTTCTTCTTCACTTACCTCTTTTCAGAGACAGGGTGAAGAGACTCTCTTATTCTGCCAAGCATTCAAAAGGGAAATTGAGATCTTTTAAAACGGGAACATTTTACACCACTACTGAATTGGATCAAGAGAGACTGCTTGAATTGCAACTGATAATGAAGCTCAAGACAATGCATCCTCCTGGACTGAATTGAGACCTAGGTTTCCTGTCTCATTACCAATGTTGATTTCTCCATGCTTACTACCCCTCTGCATATCACACCTAATCCAATCATGCCTGCTATTGTCATTCACCTGCTAATGTCATTAGCATCTGAAATCACTTCACTTTCCAATATATAGGACAGATGGACTCACAATCTAGCTGTATCTGAAGAAGTGAGCAGTGACTCACGAGAGCTCATACCCTGCTACAAGCTTTGTTAGTCTTTAAGGTGCTACTTGCTCTTTTCTACCACTACTGAATTATGAGATGGGTGAGATGTTTTCAGAGGATGTGGAATTGCTTTTGGAGTGTTTATTTTATTCTTTTGATGTTTAGGTTGGATCTAGCTTAGCTTAGCTTTTCCATGGGTGAAAAAAAGGGAGGAAGGGTCCTCTTTAACCACCAAGAAGGCTGAGCTGGGAATCAAGCAATCCGCATGGACAAAAGGGCTTGAGAGTACTGGGACTGCAGGAAGAAAGTGCTTAAGTGAGACTTATAGTGGGGAAAAGAACTGGCTAGATCCAACCCACTGATTTTAAATTGAGAACAGCTTTGTGACTTCGTGGGAAAAGCAGTACAGAAATATGGCAAATACATAAACTAGATTTAAGAGTAGACAAAAACCAGTCCATCCCAATGACACAACCTCCTTTTGCAAATAAGTAGCAATCCTTTTTACTTTTGGTTTGATCCAAAGTTTTAATCCAATGCATCAACTGTTCAAATTACACAGCTATAATTCATGCTTTCATTTTTATTTAAACAATTTGAGGACAAATCAAAAATAGGAACCTATTGTCTATTTTTAACTTTATATATAATATGCTAGTAGAAGTAATCAACTTGTCCTTCTAGGTAAATTAACTTAAATTAATCCCAATTTTTATTAAATTGGAGAGCTGCTTTCACGTGTGGCATTTTCCCCAATACTGAGATAAGTAGGGAAAAGCACTTACATTGGATGGAGCATAGTGCATGAGTTAACTGCCACAGGTACATAGACCGGGCAAATGACGCACAAACACCAGGTCTAAGATCACCAGTGACTCCACTGAACGGGCTCCTATATGAACCAAGGTCAAGTGTTAAAATCAGCCGTCTTCGATACTTTGGAAGAGCTGACGGTTGCCAGAAGGTAAGAAAACGGCCCAACACGACAGGCCTGCAGACGGCATCCACCCACCAAAAACAAAATGCCTCCTTATTTTCTCAGAGGACTTTTAATCCCCCCCCCACTTTTGGACAGTTCTTTTGAAATTAGTTGTGCAACCTTCGTGCCCAAAGTCAAGACTCGCAGAGAGCCTCAGCTTCCGAATACTGATGCAATCGTCACACTTTCCTTTTCCAAAATACAGCCGACGAGTTATGACCAATGCAGAACTTGGTGGAAGGGCCTGGCGTCTTCACTTGGGGCCTAGCCACACCCTTTGGCAACTGGCATAACCTGACTGTAACAGCGGGTTTGGGATTGTGGGTCAGCCCCACCTTGCGGCTGTGCCTTTGCTCTAACATCTAAATGGGGTGAATGTATACACATCTCTGTATGCATGGTCAACACACAGTGTTTATCCCTTAAAAGGCTGGGTGCACAGGGAATACCCAGACAGAACCAGAAATGTCGCTCCATTTAGGCATCACACTGAATTCACAGTAGCAAACCAAGGCAGACCCCTGAGTACATTGCCTTTCTTCCCATTCAGGGTACATAATTTGCTGAATAGGCCTTTGGGCACCGCTGTCTCCGTGCGATCTTTGCATAGGTTCCAATGAAGGTTTGCTGTTCTGTTCCAACTGCATACTTGTCCACAACGTCTGGAGCTGTTTTTGTTAAAAAATATACTTTTGGTCTTCATGACACAGCACAGTAAATAATTCAGAAAGAGGGAAGAATAACCTTTTGATTATCAGAGCTCTTCCAAAGACAATGTACAAGATACTGCAGGCTTCCATACTTCTTTACAGTCTAATGTGCCCGCCCAACAGCACACAAAAAAACAAACACGAAAAAAACACCCTGATCATACTCAACAGGTCGCTTGTGAAGTATAACAAACAATATTTTTAAAAAAATCTGCTGCAAGACAGCTGTAAAAAACACAGATACAAAAGTGTTTGTACACAAAACATATTCTTCATGTAAACACAGTGAATGTGTGTTAACATCTCCGAACTTCAGAACTTGGACCGGGCAGTTAATCTGAAGTAAACCCATACCCTCCCCCACAACTCCGTGTAAACTAAGCCATTTATGCTACATGATGCGGAATAGACACTGAAGTGGAAAACCAGTTTTAGAAAACAAGACCTCCAAGTCCTTTATAGTTCAATCTTAATAACAGAACTGAACTGCACATAATGGATGTTCGTTGTGCGGTCCGATCGCCAAGGACTCATCCAACATTTTACGGTAGGGGGCTCAGTAGTTTTCACTCAGCGTTACTTGCTCCCCACAGGCCCCCAAATGAGGCAGTCTTGGGGTTTAAAATGTAAATGTGGAACTTGACATCGGTTGGAAAGATGCGGTGTTTCTCAGGAGAACCTGATGCATGATTTCCACTGACTGAAAATGAAAGCACGAGAGAGAGAAAAAGACCACGTCACATTACAAAACAGCTGAAGTAAAAGAAGGTCATGCCTAATTATTTTTTCCAATCCAATTCCAATTCCAATAACCTTTATTGGCATAACGATTATTTCCAGTCACTGTTAGGGCTGGTTCAGATGTAGATGGGGTTGCCAAATGTCTTACCTGGCACAGTGTTGGTCCCAGCCCGGGACATTACGCATGCGCGCACCGTGATGACATCACTCGGAAGTGACGTCATCATGCTGGGCACGTCACCAGGCGACGTGCCCAGCTCAATGACATCACTTCTGGGCGTTGTTATCGCCCCAGGCACGTTGGCCCATCTGGGCACTTTGGGGGTGGGGATCCCCCTGCTGGCCAGATCCAGAATGACGGGTTGGGGGCCCTTTGGGCGGGAAAACCCCCGCCCCCCTGGGGGACTTGGCAGCCCTAGATGTAGAGTACCCCACATGGGTGCCTTGAGGGGAAGGGGAAGAGGCTGATGATAGGGTTGGGACCACGCAGGCTGGGCATGAAGGTGTTATGTGCAAGAACTTGAGCTGAGAGAACTTTTCTTTACCCGGATAAACAACGTAACTTACCCCTTGGTGTGTCTGGTCTGTACTACCACTGTTCAGAAGAGCTGTAGGAGAAAACACAAAAAAACCAGCAACATTTTGGGCAACACCATCTTAATAGTGAGTCTGCAATGCTGGTAAAGCACAGAACAGTGACTGAAATGAAAAGCCAATGTTTGTGCATGCAAACCCCCCCCCCCCCCCCGAAAAACTTCCTCTGATTTTTCTGACAAGATTTTGAAGCCATTTTCTAGATGGAAGACACCTGTTTCTTCCTAGAAAATTTACGGACAAGGAAATGTCATCTCATTTAGTCCTCCCACATCCCCCAATTTGCTCATTTATTTTTTTAATTTATTTATACATTCGATTTATTTACCGCTCTGACCCCGAAGGGTCTCTGAGCGGTTTACAGGTAGTTTCAAATACATTTTTCCCTAACTCAGGCCACATAGTATACAGGGGTGGGGTTGCCTCATGCGGCTAATTCATGCACTTCTAGATTAAGCAGAGGAAAAGTAGACCTCTCTCACCATAAATACCACATGCACTTATAGTGTGGAACAGCTGCCAGCACGCAAGAAATGTAAGGTGTAAAGTTAGCCAATATGCAGGACCTCCTTGCAGCCAACTAAAAAGCTGGAATGCGAAATCCCTAAAACAGCTGAAGATAACAAGAGGGTGGAGAGATCAGGACCCAGCTGGAAGGGAACGAAAACGGCAGGACGCTCAGGGCTCTCCCACATTCCCATTTCCCTTGTTTGGCTGCTGTGTGCGGTGGGGGGGGGGGGGGCATCTGTTCTCCGGGTGTTTTGCTCCCTCTAGTGGTCAATCTGATACTACATTGGTTTATTTTCAGCATAAAAACACGACGTTTAAATCTGCAGGGAGATATGTCAGACATAAAGTGATGTAATATCAAATCAACCACTACAGGGAGCAAAACACGTGTAGAACATTCCCCCCCCCCAACAATATGGACACACAAGCAAGAAAAATGAGAATGTGGAAACGCCCTTGGTCTAACTATATGTGAACTGTTTTTTCCCTAGACTTCAGTATCTGTCTCTGGTACCACTTCTGTTAAAAGAAACCTTGAAAGGGACAGGACAGAGAATAATTTTAATTGAGGACCTGTCAGTTAAAAATCATTTTCAATTATATTTTTGAAAAACAGGTTGCTTACCTGTAACTGATGATCTTCGAGTGGTCACCTGTGCATTCACACCTCTGGGATATAGTGTGCCTGTGCCGACCCCGATCGGTAAACCTGAAAGCTAATAGGGAGTTTCGCACCCGCTCCCGAGTCACATGCAGGGGGCTCCACTGCACATGATTACAGGGAGGGACACGACAATCCTGCCAGTTGCTTCTGACCACTGCCAATAGTCTCAGAGAAAACTAAGTGGACCAACGGCAGTGGGGAAGGAGGGTGGGTGGTGTGGATGCGCAGGTGACCACGGAGAGCCCACCACCCCTCGAGGAAGCCTGGTCTTCTTTATGGTCTCTGTGCATCACACCTCTGGGAGAGTAACAAGCAAAGGCCTACCTGGAGGAGGGTGCTGGAGGGTGCTCAGACACACACTGATTGCAACACCGAGCGCCCCACCAAAGTCCATTGATGGAGACGCACATCAAGGGCATAATGCTTCACAAACATGTGAGGGGTGGCCCAAGTCGCTGCATTGCAAATGTAACGAAGTGGTATTGTCAGAAGCAGTGTTAAATCAGTTCTCAACAACAGCCAGTCTGAAAAAAACTAACTTTATTGAGATCGTTGATAGATACCATTCTGGACACCTCTTTGTTAGAACGAAAGATTATTGCCAAAGGTTACAGATATAGTGGTTTCAAACAGCAGCCATAAAAGATCAGGACCCAATCATCCTGTGGTATTTTACCCACCAGGACTAACAGCCAACTACCCCCCCACTAAACACGCATTCCTCTGGAGCATCCCTCCCACCAGAATCAACAGTTGCTTATCCCCCCCTCCCCCCAGACATGTAGCCTCTATCTACCAAGAAAACAGAATAACAAACAAGTAAGATGCTCCGGGCACGCTTCGATGTCGACGCCCGCATTGGAATCGGCGGCCGCTCTGTCTTCGACATCAGCCCCAATCAACGCTGAAAAAAATCAACATTTGGCTCCACTATGGTGTCAAGCTCCCAATACATGAAAGAGATGGGGGGGGGGCCTTCTCCATGGCAGGTGAGCAGTAAAATTCACAGATAGCCTGACACGCTGCCCCTCCCAAGATCTCTCACCCCTTCGGCTTGTGGGGGTATTTGTTATGGAATGCACGGATGAGAGAAGGGGCTCTAACGTGTTCACATTTCACCCACTCATCATGCGATTCATCAAAGTCCCTCCACTTAATCAAGTAGTACAATCGGTTGCGCCTCAATTTAGAATCAAGGATTTTTTCAACAACTTGGTGGGGATCACCATCCACAATTTGAGGAGGTGGAGCAGCCGGCTGAGGTCTCCATTCGTTCGGTCCTGGATCCCGTTTCAGTAGACTGAAATGAAAGACAGAGTGAATATGACGCAGATTTTTAGGTAAATGAAGTTCCACCACCACTTTGTTCATGACGCTCACCACCTTGAAGGGACCAATATACTTCCACCTCAGCTTTTACCCCGGCTGGAGCCCATTTATGTTTTTTGTAGAGAGATACACCGAGCCCCAAGGGTGCAGCTCCAATTCCGGAGCTCTCCCTTTATCAACTTGCTTTTTGTGTTCCTCTTTCGCCCTGTTCAGTGTCTTGTATCAGGAACCATCGATTCTTTAAGGCCCCCCCCACGATTGCAAGTCCCCCCCTTTGGGCTCCTGGGTAGTTACCGTAGGGAGGGGGGCCCCCTTGTACCCATGTACAGCCATAAAGAGGGAGAGGCCTGTGGCACCAAGTTATTGTAACTATATTCCGCGTAAGAGAGGAGGTTGACCCAGTCATCCTGTTGATAATTCGTGAAGCACCTGAGGAACTGTTCCACTAACTGATTCACCCATTCCATTTGGCCGCTCGTCTCCGGGTGATAGGAACTGCTGAGCCCTTGCTCCACCCCCAACATCTGCCGCAGTTCCCTCCAGAACTTAGCAACAAACTGTGCCCCCCTGTCTGAAATTATCTTGCGTGGAAGCGAGTGCAGCCGCACGACGTGATGCATGAAGAGCTTGGCCAGGGACCTGGCTGGGAACAGTTGCTTGCAAGGAATAAAATGCGCCTGCTTAGAAAACGTGTCAACCACAACCCAAATTACTGTTTTCCCTTTACTGAAAGGTAAGTCAGTTATAAAGTCCATAGAAATCACTGCCCATGGTCTCTCTGGCATTTCAAGGGGTTGCAGAGTTCCGGGGGGCTTTCCCGGTCTCCGTTTCCCCATTAGGCAAGTCTGGCAAGAACTCACATACAAGGAAACGTCTGCCCTCATGCACAACCACCAGAACGGTCTTTGAAGGAGGTGCAGAGTTTTCAGGAACCCATAATGCCCCGCCATTTTATTTTCATGCACCCATGTCAGGATTTTCCCCCTCAACGCTTTAGGTACAAACAATCTCCCACCCGTCCCAACATCCGTCCCCCTTCTGCGCTACTGAATTGTCGCCGTGAAAGTCTTTCATGCCCCCTTCAGTGAACAGTTTTAAATTTGCAAATCCAAGGTTCAGTGTCACTAGGAGTCTCGGCTTTCACCCGGCTGTGAGTCACCACCGCCCCCCGCCCCCCAATGTGTGGGTGTGAACATGGAGTCTATGATTTCCTCTCTTTGCCTGTCATGCTGCGGGAGACGGGAAAGTGCATCTGCCAGGGAGTTTGCCTTCCTGGGGAGGTGATGGAGGGTAAACTGGAATTTAGACAAAAACTCCGCCCAGCATAGCTGTTTGGCATTAAGGCGCCGGGGCATGCATAAGGCTCTCAGGTTTTTGTGATCCGTCCACACTTTGAACAGCACCTGTGCTCCCTCCAACCAGTGCCTCCAGGTCATAAGGGCCAGCTTGATGGCCGCTGCCTCCTTGTCCCAAATCGTCCACTTACGCTCTGTAGGGGAGAACTTTTTCAACACATACGCCAAGGGATGGAGCCTTCCATCCTCCCCTTGTTGCAGGATTGCACCTCCTATTGTTACATCAGATGCATCGACGTGGATTACAAAAGACTTGTTTTCGTCAGGGTGGTGTAAAATGGGCTCAGAAGTAAACAGCTATTTGAGTCTGTCGAAAACCTGCTGGCACTCCGGGGTCCAGTCCAGCTTGGCGCCAGGCTTACTACCCTCGGACCCCTGCATGTAGCCATAGGTGCAAACGGTCACCCAGAAAGTTTCGTTAGGACCAATGGAAGGTCCCAGGATGGTGAGGGGTGACGAAGTGGAGGGAAAAGACAGATGAGCCCTTTTAGAAACGTCTTAATGAGTGGCTGAGTAAACACAGAGTACCCATCGATCGGAGGATGAAGAGCTGAGACAGCTGCCAGATGCACCCGCAGTGAAGAGTGACTGAGACCTGCGTCCAAACGAGACAACAAAAAACCAAAAATAGCAGACAAATCTGAAAGGGGGTGGAGGTAGCCCAACGGAATTAAGGTAGCCCAAGAATTTTTTCCACTTGTGGCTACAGGATTTGTGGATGGAGGGCTTTCGGGAGTTCAATAGCACATGTTCTATCCTCTGTTTGAGGACTGTCAGTGAATTCTCCATGCTGTAAGTTTCAGGTATGGCATAATGTGGTAAAGCACCAGGCCTCCCTGGGATATAAAAAGATCTGGGGCTGACGGAAAATGGTGAAAGGGTCCCTTTGAAAGTTGAAGCGGCATGGGGAACCATTGCTGGCAAGGCCAGCAGGGCATCATGCGAATACTTCTCAGGGATTCCCGCATGGTCTTCTGAATCACCCTGGTGAGTAGCAGAACTGGAGGGAAGAGAAATAAATGCTGATAAAACCAGGGGTAAAAGAGGCCATCCCCTAGTGACAGAGGGTCTGCTCCTACTCTGGAGCAGAACAGACGACAATTTTTTGTTCTGCCATGTCGCAAAAACGTCCACCAGCGGTTGGCCCCACACATTG